GATGAGAATGAATTTGGGTGTGGCTCCAGGAGTGAAAACAAATTAGTAAATGACTTGAAGGATTGAAATAAATTTGGATGTGACTCCAGGAGCGAAAACAAATTGGTGAATGACTTGGAATTTGGGTGTGGCTCCGGGAGTGAAGACGAATTGGTGAATAACTTAGAAAATTGGGATGAATTTGGGTGTGGCTCTAGGAGTGAAGACAAAATGGTGAATGATTTGAAAAACAAAAATGAATTTGAGTGTAGATTAGAAAGTGAAAATGAATTGGCAAATAGCTTAAGAAACGAAAATGAATTTGAGAATGGTTTAGAAAGTGAAAATGAGGTTATAAGCAGATTAGAGTATAGTAATGAAACTAGATTAGATATTTATGATGATTCTGATAATGGGTCAGAGAGCAATAGTGATATTTCAACTACAACAAATAGAAGCTCTACAGATAATGAAGGTATTATATTAAAATTATATTGTGTACTGATATTTAACTTTTTTATTTACATTAAATATAATTAAATATTAGAAAATACACCCTTTATATCAGCTGAACTCGCTACTATAATTCAACTTTTTAAAATCAAGGTGCAAAATAATCTAACTGATGAAGCTTTTTATGAAATTGTGAAAGCTGTAATTGCAAAACCAATGAGTCTATACTTAATCAAAAAAACTGTTCTCATTAATTTTATATAAACTCTTGTAGATAGATATGTACATCAACACTTGTTGTGCTTATACAAGTAATTATAGCAATCTTAAAGAATATCCTTATTGCAAACAAAGCCAATATCAAACTAATAAACAATCTGAAGCTCATCGTCAATTTGCATATTTTTCTCTCATTGATCGCCTTATAATACAATATCAAGATGCAGAACAATCAAAAAATCTACTTTATCATTCAAATTATGTATCAAGACCAGAATATTATCTTAGTGAAAAAATTGGGAATGTGTTCGATGGCTAACGATATAAAGATTTAGTATGAAGAGAATATTTTAAAGGAAAGTATGATGTTAAACAAGAGATTTTTTTACTGATATCATAGCCACAAAGCCTAATCACAAGGTTTTTGCACTCCTATTGTAGCTATAGAATCTAATCAATATAATACTTTTGCACTGCTATTGCAGCTATGGAGCTTAATCTCAATATTAAAATATAAAGTTATTAAGCTACTGCTGTAGCTGCTATACTTAATCATGAGGTACTTGCACAGATATTCTATAAAATAGGTAGGCAATATAAAAAATAAGCTTTGCTAATAATTAGTAATTATTAATTATTAATAGCAGAGTTGCAGAGCATATAGAGTTTGCCACCTATTTTATAGAATATCTACTTGTACTACTAATGCAGTAATGAAAGCTAATTAGCATATATAAAGTTTTTGTACTGTTACTGTAGCCACAGAGCTTAATCAACATTATAAGGTTCTTGCTTAACCAAATTTAAAATTTAGCTATGAAGCCTAAATCCTATATAAGATTTCTATATTAATTCTAATTACAATATAAAATACTTGTATCACTATCATAGCTACAAAGCTAATTATCAATATATAGTCCTTGCACTGCTATGCAACCATAAAAACTAATTATCAAATATAAGATCAATGTACTGCCACTGTAGCCTTGAAGTCTAATCACAATATAAGGTCTTAGCAATACTATTGCAGCTATAGTATCTAATCAAAATATGAGGTTTCTGCACTACTATTATTTGCAAAGCCTAATTATTGAACACCAAACTTGCAATATTATTGAACTATAGTGTCTAATTCTCAAGATTCTTGTATTAATATTATAATAACAAGGTCTAATTATCTAGTATGAGGTTCTTGCATTGCAATTATAGCTGCAGAATCTAATCACAAATATAAGCATTATACTACTATTGTAGCTGTGAAGCCAAATCTCCAGTATGAGATTCTTGTATTACTATTGTAGTTATGAAAATTAAATCATCAAACATTGGCTCTTACATTGCTATCACAGCAGTCAATTATAAATCTTACTACTATTGTATCTAAATTCTAATATAAGATCCTTGCAAAGTTATTATAACTACAAAACTTAATTACAAAAATGAAATTTTGTACTGCTATCACAATTGCAATACCCAATTATCAGCATAAGGTTCTTATACTACTAATGTAGCTATAAAGCTTACTTGCCAATATTTGGTCCTCTGTATTCACAGAACCTAATCACAAACATAAGAATCTTGCATTAATATCAGAGCCATAATGTCTAATCACCAAACTTAAAGCTTTTACAGTGTTTTTAGTCAATGAGTTACCAAGAGAAAGGTGGGTGTAGTGTGACAATAAAGCCAACCTTCATTACAAGGCAAAAAGAAAATAACAATCTCTACTAAGCTCTTAAATATTTCTAGAAAACAATCTTGCCTATTAAAGTAACTTATACCTTCTACAATCATATGTAATTACAATATTAATTAGAAAAATACCTGCATCTAAAAAGATACAATATAAACTATACACAAAAACTCATAAAGATAAAATGACAAATTGAATATATTATTCAATAAGGTCATCTGATTTCACAATAATGATCACTCTATCACTTCGTTAATATGCTTTTCAATTTTGAAAACCACAATAAGTATTGCAGATAGATCTATATTATTTTACTAATTACTAACAGCTAATTATTTCATAAACTAATGAGTTTTTTTTATATATTATGCTAACCTTAACTATTGATGCATTGATTATCGATAAACTAAGCTGTTGGTGGAATAAATAGATTCCATATAGATTTGTGACTTCATCAATATATACTTGTGGCATTAATAATAGTTAGGTTTGTAATTACAATAGTAGTTGATTGCCAACAGTAGTCACAACTTTGGTAGTGGATAAGTAGTAATTTTAATTGAGTTGGTGG